GTCCAGTCCAGTCCGCTGCTCCAGATGCTATGAATCTATGCCAAGAATGAGACTGGCAGCAAGTCTTCTGAATAGAAAAACAACAACAGTCAGTCAGCTGACATCCTGCTTGTTCAGCTAGGAATTTGATCTAAGACTGTTATAAAGACATAAAAATGAATAACAGAGATTGTAAAGCTCTACTAGGCAAACTCGCTATGTAGATGTGATTGTGGAATTTGCGTTCAAGGTGTGACCGATGACACTATGTAATTGCTAAAACTATTTTTCTTAAACCCAACTAAGTGTTCTTTAAGTGTTGTCTTTTAGTGTCTGGCTAGTGCACATACAGTAATGACTGCCAATTATTTTTACTCATCCAGCTCCATGTACTTCACGCAATAGATAGTACATAAGTGACATTTATAATGTTACATGACAGAGGAGGATTTAAGGCCAGATGCAGATGTGCAGTGTGTGATCTCTCTGTCAGAACCACATCCTTAGTGTGTGCAGTGCAAGAATGGAGTAAGGAGGAAATCCTGTTGTTTGGATGTTTTTCTGCAGTAATCAATCCAGGGAGCAACAAGCCTACAACAAAAGTTCCATAGCATTTAGAATGTTCATAACAGGCCAGTTGTAAAGCCCATAACCTCTGTACATGTACAAATCACCTCAACCCCTTTTTTGATGCTCATGAGGTTTTTACAGTCATATAATTTACAGCATAAAATTAAAGTCATCATCATATTTAGGAAGGCTGCAAATCTTTTCACGTTTGAACTGGATAATCAATTTTAACCACCCAGACAGGGTCATGTGGCCACACAATCATTAAATATGTGGGTTTTTTTTTTGGTTTTTTTTGATCAGTTTTTGGTTTTATTTTTTGTTTATCAAGCAGCTCTTTATCACAATAACACAGAATTGAAGGAAATCAAACAACCCCCTTTCCCTCCCTATCCCTCCCCATCTCACTGGTCTGTCCATCCCCTTTTTCTGTACGTGTGTTTCTGTTTACTAAATAAGAGTTAATGAAAATATATATTTTTTTTAATTTGAAAAAAGGATGTTAGCCTGTAGAATGTACATCGTAACATTTGTTGCAATCTTTTCATCACATCAAAACAAATCTGTCTCCATGACTCAGGAGAAAATGTGTTAACATTATTAATTCTGGCTGTGGCCAATTCTGTGTCAGGCACTGGTTCAAAAATGACTATATCTACTCTGAAGGAATCCACGATAGATGGTGACCAAATTGATCAAGGCTTCTCTGTATCAGTAAAGTACAACATGCTTGTCATTTATTATTATTATTATTATTATTATTATTATTATTATTATTGTTATTATTATTATAACTTTTCTGTCCTGTGATGGACTGGCAACCTGTCCAGGGTGTATCCTGCCTTCTGTCCAATGACGGCTGGGATAGGCTCCAGCTCCCCCCGTGACCCAGAAGGATAAGCAGTTTAGATCATATATATACATGTACGTGTGTGTGTGTGTTTGTGTGATTGAACTCATTTCCTTCCTAACTATGTGTTTCTTTCCATCAGTCCTCCCAGTCCTCACAGCAATATCTCCCAAATAAAGATCCATTATAAAGGGAAACCAGACTGATTTCACTAGTCCTCTGGAAACAGGGTTTTGCATAATTACTGTGTTGTGGTGGATAAAAAGAGTTAAACAGAGTTATTGTCTAAACTTGATTGGAGCTAGTTTCAGCGCTACTAAAATTGCAGATTACATTTTTAAATTAATAACAGATTATTTTGTAAATTTTAATTCTTGCTGTCTACAGAACTTTCTTAACCATGGACAATGGGTACAGTGGGGATTTGACGAGGCATAATGCTGCAAGACTTTTTGTTGTTGTTAATCTTAGAGACTTCATTTCATATTGAGTTTAGTTAACTATCTAAATTGGCTCTTGCAGTCTTGCTAGATTGGAAGAACACATGATTCTAGTGTGGTGGTGCAAGTGTTCAGCTGATAAAGCATTCGAGCAGATATTGTCAGCTTATAAAGTTGAAAATTGTACCAGTTTTTGTTACCAGTGTCTCCAAATCATAACTGTTGTGTTTGTGTTTGGGTGTTCATGGCACATTTCATGTGAACAGTACACATATGTGCTTGGATATCGTCGTATGGACTGACGATATCTTGCACTGCAAAAAATATAGTTATATTTGCTTATTTAGTGAGAGGGCTTGCCTAATCACAGGTAGCCCTAAATTTACAATTATTTACACACATTACTAGTGGTGTCTAAGTTCCTTCTGTAGTTCCTCCCTGAAGCCCAGCTGCTCATGCTCTCTTGATAAAACCAACTTTATTTCTAGCTACTGCCATGTTGAATGTATTTCTCACTGAAGGACGCGGGGTCTGATGCTGGCAATATCAGAAATATCAGTGATATTTGAAGGACACCTTCAGCAGTCTGCACTGGACAGTGATGGCAGGAGAAGCATGGATACATCAACAAGCAGCAAACAAAAGCAACAAAGTCTTATGAGAGCTGTTTGAAACATGTAGCTGTTGTTGCTTTCGCTAGGTGTTTGTGATGAAAATCAGAAACTGTTCACTTTGTTTTCGTGTTCAACTTGTGTTCGTGTGATTTATGTTTAGGTCCACCTCCAACTATTTTCACATCATCAAAATAATGTTATTTATTAAACATTGTAAAAATCGAGATGAACTACACTAACATAAATTACACAAAACTACACAAAATAATAATTTTTTTTTTCAATTTAATCGTGTGACCGCCCTAATTATTACACAAATGGCCTTCTCGAAATTGGTCTACTGTGGTGACACGTGATAACAGAGAATGTACTGACTGGAACTCGCTGGAGTTCATCACTGGTATTTACAGTAAGGATGCACCAAGCATGAATATTTATGGCTAATCCCGATTTCTGTTTATTTACAGGCATATTGGCCAATGAATGTTTTGACTTTTTACTAGCATTTATTTTTATTTATTTATTTTTTACCTGAAGCACACACTGAGTGAGCTAAATGAACACAAACACACAAAAATCTAAATAACATTATACAATATAAACATTATTTTCTCTTGAATTCAAACTGGCATCTCAGATGTGTAAAATTAGTTGCTAATTTAAATAACGGATCAAATAAAGTGCTACATCAAAAGTAAGAGGCAACTGACTATTTAGCAGAATGACTTGTGCATAGTTATACTGTAACATTTTGGAAAAGCTGTAGCAGCAGTGTTCAAGCATCGCGCAAGCGTGGCCAATTGCCAATTGGGTGTTTGGAGCAAAAATCTACCAATTCCGAATCTGGCCAGTTCAGATGGTGCATCCGCAATTTCCAACTTTGTCAGCTCTTCATGAGCAACTTCCTTGTTGGAAATTTGGAAATTCATTCATTTATGAGGATTGTCGTAATGAACCCTCAGTCTGTATGCGGGAAGCTTGGTCCTAGGCGGTCGGTTGCTGGGTAGTCACTTGTGTTATATCTCAGGTGTGCAGAGCTGGAAGGATGACTCTCTGGCCCCCACGTTCTCTCAGCCCCTCTAGGCTTGGGAGTGCCAGGGTGTCAGATGCTGCCTCGTCCTCTCCTTTATTGAATTTTGACACTGAGCTCCTCTCTCCCCATGATGAGGAGAGACCAGCTGGCTCCTCGTCTGCAAACAAAGCAAGCCCACTCAGTACGTGCAGCGAAAGGGAATCGCCCTGTCCTTGTTTGAGCTTTGAAGATGCAACCTGGTGCTGTGGGTTTCTCATTTCATTTCAACCTGCTTGCAAGCTTTGGAAGAGTCGGAACATGATTATGTGGAATGATGGTGTGATATAAGGAATATGGGCAATATGGAGTAGATCAATTTAGTGTGTTTAGTTAATCCTTTTTCAAAGTAGCCATAAAATGACATTTTGGAGGTCCCTCAGTTGAACTGTGCAGTTGTTGTGTGTGTGTGTATTATTATTCGGTAACACTCATGGAATATATTTCGATGGAAATGTGTATGATTTACAAAATTGGAAGCTAACTGGTTTGTTGTTTTCATACATGAGCAAGCAAGTCAACGTTTAGAAAAGTGTTTAAGTACAATTTATTATGGCAGTTGACATACATGATTTTTTTTTTTTTTGATACAAAGAAAGCCGCAGCTATGCTGTTCATTTCATCTCAGCATGGCCATCTTTGTGGAGAGGTGTGACTTGTTTTCACAGCAGGGGGTTCTGACTCCTCCCCTTTCACCTCCCATTGCTCGCTGGCAGTTCAACAGAGTTCAGAACAGTTCACACTCAGAGTGCCAGCAGTGTCCTAGTCAATCTGATAGCAAAGAAAAAGATTTTATTTGATTACATCTATTAAAAAATATTAGTCTGCTTTCCATTTCTAATTTCTGCTTTCTAATTTCCATTCTGCTTGTCAAATAGCCAGAAGGAGGCTACGTAATGCAAGGTTTGCAATCCAGAATCTGAATCACTTTATCGATGTATGTTACACATGCAAGGACAAGAACACAGAGGGCAAATTCTTTAGTGCGGAGGCAAAAATCTGGCTGTTTCTGGCCTTTAATCTGTTTAGCAACATGGTTTCTCCATGTTGCCACATATATTTTGATATGTAAAAAACATTCACTACCACCTGAAAATTTTTAGTGTTTAAGTTTCTGTAAGTCCTACCATGTTGAGCAAGCATGCATATGACTAGGAATGTACTTACCTTTTTGTTGTTATTTTGATCAAATAAATCAACACCAAAGCTTGGGCACCAAAGTTTCTGAAGTGAACCCCTCACAGAGGAGAGGTAAGAGAGGGTGTAAATGCTTCCTTCAAAACAGTGTAGAGTTTAATAAAAAGTTGTTATTCTCAGTAGCCTTACTGCTTTATCATGTGGATTTCTGTGAAATTCAGTTAATTTTATTCCTCCTTAAATTTTTTTCTCTCATGAAATTCTCTCTCTCTCTCTCTCTCTCTCTCTCTCTCTCTCTCTCTCTCTCTCTCTCTCGCTCGCTATACTCCTCCTCCATTTAGGCTACAAGAATGGCTGCTAAACCTCATCCACCACTAATGAAAAAGCACAGTCAGACTGATCTAGTGAGTCGGCTCAAGACCCGCAAAATCTTGGGAGTTGGAGGAGAGGATGACGATGGAGAGGTGCACAGGTCAAAGGTCAGCTTCTTTTGTGTTTGTGCTGAACAGCTAAATATCATTGTGTCACACCTCTCTCTGCTTTGTAATCCTGTCGACAAAGAGCATAGTTACACGTTAGGATATTTAGAAATGTGACGTTCCTCACAGAATTTAATTGATTAATTAATAATGTGTTGATGCTCAAGGAGAGGATCAGGCCAAAACCAAGCGGCTGACATTTGTCTTAATTTACAGTGCTGTGTAAAAGTATTTGCCCCTTCCCAATTTCTTTTTTTTTTGCATATTTGTCACACTTGAATGTTTCAGATCATCAAACTACTACTTTAGTATTAGACAAAGATAATCCAACTAAACACAAAATGCTGTTTTTAAATCAGCCTGGACCTATGTGAAAAAGTAATTGCCCCCTTAGCTACTAAATCTACCTGACATGATTACTGCCAGACCTGTCGAATCTAAACATCACTTAAATAGAACCTATTTGGCAATGTGAAGCAGGCTGGAAGGTCTTAAAAAGCAGCGCATGATGCCACGTTCTAAAGAGATTTAAATACAGACGCAAAACAAAGTAATTGAAATCTATCAGTCTGAAAAGGATTACAAAATCATTGCTAAGGCTCTGGGACTCCAGCAGACAACAGCCAATTTTCACAAATGGAGAAAACTTGTAACAGTGGAGAACCTTCCCAGGAGTGGCAAGCCTACCAAAATTTCACCAAAAGCGCATCGCGGACTCATCCAGGAGGTCACAGAAGAACCCAAACAAACATCTAAAGAACTGCAGGCCTCACTTGGCTCAGTTAAGGTCAGGGTACATGATTTAGATTACATAGTTTAGATTAGACACAGAGTTGTCTTCATTTGTACACCACTGGTCAAAAGTTTGGAATCACTTTTCATATTTATAACTGCTGTTCTTTTATTCAACACTACCTTAAACACCAGAAGGTACTTTAAGATGTTTTATTTAATATTTTTATTTATTCATTTAAGTTTTGTGGGAACACTATAAAGTTATTAAATAATAATGTGCTTTAATGATCTATTTATACAAATTTCTTGGTTATTATCTGCTTCAAGATTTGATCACCACTGTGTAAAACATGAGGCATTCTAAGTTTTAATTTTATTTTAATAATGCTTCAGTGTTTTATAGCATTCCTGTCATTAAAGAATCATCTACACGTTTGTTAATCATCCTGAACAGAGAGGAAAAAACCTTTGTATGTAGAGTAGTAGCACCATAATAGAATCATTCAAACATGTATCTTCAACAAATTGATTTAATATTAATGAAAACAGTGATTCCAATCTTTCCAGTGGTAGTACCAAACTTTGGAATAGTATGGAATACTATAGTAACAAGTTTTTTTTGACTAAGAAAAATGCCGCATTGTCCTTGCTGTAGGTTCATATGAGAGCTCATGTGGCTAGGTTTTATTACCAAACACAAAAGGAGGAAGTACTTTTCCCCTCCATTCACTCCTTCCTGCTAGGGAAGACTCTCAGGATGGAAAAACTTGTTTTCTCTGAGAAGGTTGAGCTACTAGAGTCTTGTTTATGAAAAGAGAATTTTGGATCATGTAGGGATTTGGTGGAAGCTTTGTCATGAAGATGATTTCTTGTTTTATATTTATGCTACTGCTACAGGGCCTTTGGTGCAGCAGTTCAAACATCCTCCTGCTTCCCTCTGTTCACTGTGGAGATTAATTATTTAGTTTCAGTTCAATAACAAAGCATGTGGCAGCACCAGAAGATGGAGAGAAAAATTTGAACGGCATGCTCTCACAATGGATTTCTGCATTTTACTTCATTTTTATTTCTAGCCCCACACCCACATCCGCTTTTAGTCGCAAAAAAGCAGACTATGTCTGTGCGTGCATTTTATTGTCTGATGGATGAGTGGGTTGGCAGTTAAACACGCCTGAGTATTCCCTCCAAAACCTTGTTTGTTCCTGCTTTTTCCTGTCTCCCCTCTCTCTCTCTCTCACTGCTGGTCTGCCCCTCTCTGCCAACTATGTCCCTTGCTTGTGATGTCAACTCTCTTGTTGAGGGCTTTTTCCTGGAACAGCAGCTTTGCTAAATGTCGATGTGATAACATGATTCACTAACGTTAGAACAGCTGCCAGAGGTCACCTTTGTGAGCAGTACTGAATAATATTGAGGAAGAAAAAAATCACGGAGCTGTTTTATTGCAGAATACAACAAGGAAGCAGTTCAATATTTTGGACAAAATTCCATTTTACAGTCACACTATGCTTGGTTGTGCATAAACAGCTTGTATAATCTCCATAGAAAATCGTGTAATCTCCATAGAAAACCACTGACAATAAAATAGGGTGTTCTGGAGCAGCACATGAGCCTCAGGTCATTATGCCCAATGCCAAGCATCCGCCTAAGGGGTATAGAGCAGTGGAGTTGTGTTCTCTGGAGTGATGGAGATCAATCCAATACCTTTTGGGATGAGTTGGAATATCTTTTGTGACCTTTGGACATGTAGTAATATGATTATGTCCAAAAGTTTGTAGACACCCGCACATCCAGCATAGGGTATTAATAGGGACTTTGCCTGCCCCCCACAGTACTGCCTCTACTCTTCTGGGAAGGCTTCACACTAGATGTTGGAACATTGCTGTTGGGATTCAGTTGCATTCAGCCATAAGAACATTAGAGAGGTCAGTACAGATGTTGAATGCTTAGTTCTGGATTAGAAATGCCACCCTGACTCCCAGAGGTATTGGATGGAAATCCATCGCTCCAAAGAATGTATGTGCACTGCTCCGTAGCTCAATGTTGGGGAGCTTAATACTTCTCTAGCCTACGTTTGGCATTGAGCACGACCTTAGGCTCATGGGTGCCTGATCGAGAACGTCCCATTCTATTGCCTTTGTTTTGCACAATTGAACGCCTGTGTCAACAGTGAGTGGACTTATTCGCACATTGCACATACCAATATTATAAAGGCTGTTATCTTGACGTGATAACAACTAGCAAACAATATATCGAGCAACCAACAGGAACCGATGCAGGCAAAGCGTCAGTGCAGTCACATCTTCAATAAAATCCCTTTACACAAAATCCTTGTGAAAGCACGAGTAGGAGATGGAAAGAGAAATCCTCAGTTTTCCCCCATGTTGAGCCTCTAATCTCCCCATTTCCTCTCATGACGTGGACACCCTCTTGAATGTCAGAGGTCTCTGTTTCCTCTCCAAGTCTTCAAGTATCTCCTTGTAAATGTCTTGCCATTTCTGGCATTGAACAGCAGTATTCATACTGATGACTGGAGAGGCCTCAGTGTGCAGCAGCTTCCAGATAGTTACACAGACAGATAAAAGGGACGAAGAGACAAATATTAACAGTACTGCTTTATGCTGTTTATATGGTGGTCACCGTCTTTCTACAGTGGTCCACTTTCACTGTGTAAACCTTAAGATAATGCAGCGAGTTTTTAAACAGAACATGCACTACCCATCAATGCACATGCTTGAAACCAGATTGTCTATGTATATAAAACTGTGTAAACCTGTCTAGTTTAGTAATTCACTATATTATCGGCTTCTTACACTCAAAAAAGGGTACTAAATTGTCACTGGGACAGTACCCCTCTTGTCACTGGGTTGGTACCCTCAAGGGAACATTTTCAGAACCTTTAGTTAGGAAACATACACCAATCAGGCATAACATTATGATCCTTGTTTCTATGCTCATTGTCCATTTTATCAGCTCCACTTACTATATAGGTGCACTTTGTAGTTCTACAATTACAGACTGTAGTTCATCTGTTTTCCTGCATACTTTGTTAGCCCCCTTTTACCCTGTTCTTCAGTGGTCAAGACCACCATGGACCCTCACAGAGCAGGTACTATTTAGGTGGTGGATCATTCTCAGCACTGCAGTAACACTGATGTGGTGGTGGTGGTGGTGGTGTGTTAGTGTGTGTTGCGCTGGTCTGAGTGGATCAGACACAGCAGTGCTGCTGGATTTTTCAAACACAGTGTCCACTCACTGTCCACTCTATTTGACACTCCTACCTTGTCAGTCCACCTTGTAGATGTAAAGTCAGAGATGATAGCTCATCTGCTGCTGCACAGTTTGTGTTGGTCATCCTCTAGTCCTTCATCAGTGGTCAGAGGACGCTGTTGGCTGGATATTTTTGGTTGGTGGACTATTCTCAGTCCAGCAGTGACACTGAGGTGTTTAAAAACTCCAGCAGCACTGCTGTGTCTGATCCTCTCAGACCAGCGCAATACACACTAACACATCACCACCACATCAGTGTTACTGCAGTGCTGAGAATGATCCACCACCTGAACATTGCCCAGCAGTTTTTGAACAGGTGCGCCCTCGGAAGAAAATGTTGCAAGTATGATGAATCATTTTATTCTCTGGGACTTTTTGTGCTTTCTCATGCAGAAAACTGATTTTCTCTGGACGTGTTTGCAGTCAGGAAACTGGCAACCATCAAACAAGTCTGTGCCTGTCTGCTTTTTTTTACCTGCAGTGTTTTTTCCCTTTGCGCTGTACTATTTCATTCCTTTATAAACAGAATTTCCCACCTATGACTGAAGAATATACTCCAGGAGAGGTGTGGGTGTGGGTGTGGGCATGTGTGTTTAAGCAGACAGGGAGACGGTACAGGGGTGTAAGAAATCTTTTCCACATTTATGGTTTTCTAGTTTAGCTATTTGGTTATATGTGAAATTGCAAATACATACACACATGCATATTATTTCAGATTTTGTTGTTGTAAATTGCATGTTTTGTTGATTTTGTAAGTGAGAATAAACTAACATGTTCTACAGAGAATAAACTTAAACATGACATTTTTCTGCCAACATTATTGTACAATTTCTGTATATATTTGCTGAGTTTAACATATTGGAAAAATATCAAATATAAAGTGTGCACAGACTCTAAATTGTCTTTTAGTTTCTTCCCAATATGTTAAATTCAGCAAACAGTAGAAGTGCATTAAAATGGGCAGAAGTGTGTTCTCTGTAGAGGATGTGCATTTATTTTCCCCTTTTTTTGAAAATCTGTAAAACATAATTTGACCAGGGCGAAAGAAAGATTTTCCAAGATTCTTTTTCTCCTTTTTTTCTTTGTTCTTCACACCCTTTTGCTCTGCTTCTGTTGCTGCTACCTTCGTGAGCACATTGACAGAAAGCTGTCGTTAGCACACATACGCCCCACTCAGAACTACCTAGTATGGATAAGTTATTGCACCGTATCTGGACATGTGACTCATAGGAAAAAGGTCTCCTCTTCACATCAATAAACAAAAGTCCTTCAAATATGTGACTGCAGCCTCATCAGAAAGCTGCTCTGCTAGCCAGAGGCGAAGGATGGCTGACAAAGTGGCGTTTGCTTGCACTTGTGATTGTATGCAAAAAGAAGTTAAAAGGACACTCAAGAATGGGCCTTGATGTTTTCATCCTCAGTTACATAATGTAATAGCAGTGACCCTTTTGTGCAAACTGAACTGGGAGCCAAAATGACTGCTTCTGCTACTTGATGTAGTGTGCCTACTTTGTGTTTGTAAAAATAGCCAATCTACTTTGATGCTAATCTGCTTTGCATTAGCCTCAGAAACCGCAAACTTACTAAACTTGGCTTTTGTGGTTGTTATGTAAGCTGCTCACAGCACTGTTAGTACTTTAAAGCTGTTTGCTCCTTCTCAGTGTCTTTCTGATGATGGAGTAACGCTTTAGCTCAAGACCTTTTTGCTACTTAAGGCCCGTTTTACACATTGCTTATGGAGCACATTTTCCCGCTATAGAATATGCAGTATTGTTCTACTCCCTGTAAGAATGCTGGGAATGACTGCACAGCCCTAAAAAACGGTACCTTTACATAAAGACTTTTTCACAAATATGAAAGTACCTGAACCAACAAAAAGAGCATCTTTTCCTACAACCTAGTAAAAGAACTGAACAAATGAAACTGGTGGAATATGCAGAAAAATACAATAAAAAAATAGTACAATAAACCAGAAAGAGGATAAGTATTTGCCACAGTGTCACTGAGATCGTTAAAATGTATGGCTGCAAAGCAGTGATTATATGGGTGAAAGATGAGCTGGCATGAAAATCTTATTGTAGAGTAACTGAAGTCATGTGGTGTTTTCACCAGCTTGAAATTGTTGAATGTGGGTGGATATGCAGAACGTTAGCTGTGAACTTCACTCTGTGAATATGTGAGAACTGTCAGACTCAGTGTGTGGGAGGCTATATTGGCTAATTGTTACCAAATCAGATTTTATGCTAAATATAGATATTTTATTAATCTGTCCATCACACACAGGCTGCAGTTGCGCTGTTGACTTGATGCAAATCAGCCAGTTTGCATTCTTCCAGTGGCTAACACATCATGCAAACTTGCCACACTTTGGACTGATCTAGATGTTCCTATTTGTCATAATCATGAATGATTGATGGCATATCTATTTTATGTACTTAAACATGATTTTTAATGCCTTTCCTACCTCAAAAAATGTTGCCATCGAGTGTTTTTTTTTTTCTCTTCTGTTCTTGTCTCTGTATGCCATAACTAACTCCCTCTCACTCGTCTCTCTCTGTCTCTCTCCCAGATCAGTCAAATGCTGGGTAATGAGATTAAGTTTGCTGTGCGTGAGCCTGTGGGTTTGAGGTAAGAGAACAATGAATGAGCTCAGTGCTAAAGGTTCTAAAACAAAGCAAGTTCTATCTCTGTTTATTTTAGCCCTTATAATATATTGTATTCCAGTGGATATTTCATAGTTCTGTGGCTGGACTGCAAACTAGTACTTTCTGTTTATTGTTTTTTTTTCTTTATTTCTGTTCTGTTTTATAAAAGTTTCAACACTGTTTTGGTGAAAGATGCCACAGCTGTACAAATGAAAAGTGAAACTGTGTTGGAATGATGCATTGTGAAGGTGTTTACAGGGCTCTTTCTAACTAGGGTTCAACAGTTTGGCCTTAAGTACATAGATCAGAAAATACTATTCAGTTTAGCAGTGAGGCAGAATACTGGTTAAAAAATCTTGAACAGATATGGGTATTGTTATAACCGTTATACTAGTATGCCACAACCGGCAGATAATATGACGCAAAAGCTGTAGTAAACTTGCTGTCGTTGGCACACTGAGGTAGATGGCTGAGTCATGGATGTTTGTCACATTCTAGAAGAAAATGAAAACACAGTACACCTTTAATCACCTGCTGCCTAGCTATCGCATCTGAAGTAGTCTACTTTGTTTTTAAGGCAGTGAACATAAATGAATGGCTGGTCTTTTGGGGTTAGCCTTAGCCTAACGCATTAACCAATACAGATGCCAAAACGTAACTGTTGTTCCATTTAAGGTGTAAAGGAAAATTCGAGCAAACAGCTGCCAAATACTTCAGCAACTTCAGACTTGTAGAAATTCAGATGAGAAAACAATGTTTAGCAAAAAACCAGGCCAGCAGAGCTAGTGTTAGAAAGCAATGTTGACATAGATACCTATTTAGATATTGTTCAGTTTTGTTGTTACTATTTTGCACAATAAACATATTTCAGATTTACTTTGGTTGTTAAAAATGGTTTTAATTAAAAAGTAAATGGACGTTTCATAATAATAAGCCATTGAAAAAAAATGTACTGCAATATATATATATCAAAACAGTCCAAAATATTTACTTGAACCATGTTATAAATTTTTGGCCATACCAATCACTATTAATTGAGCTATTATTTTTGTATGCAAAGCATAAAATGAGTATGGCAACATTTTTGATGACAAGATATAAATTATTTATTGACACACAAAGTAGCAATGCTTCTTTTCATTAGTTCTCATTCACTGATTTATGGTGCACAAGAGTTAAACTTTAATACAGTTTTGAGAAGGTTGAGTCAAGCAGTGTTATGAATTATTATTACATGCCGCTCTACTTGTAACTCCATGTGAGGTTTTTTCTTGAGCTTGTGTGAATTGTTCTAGATTGTTCACTTTCAAGCTCAACATATTCAAAGATATTTTAATATGCCTTCAATGATCATGGAGGACAATCTGCAGAATTTACATATAGTATGAATTTTATAGATTTCTGTTATATCTGAGTTTTTATATGCTTTTAATTCTGCCTCCTCAGCAAAGATTATCTTTTTCCAGTCACTTTAATATTTTTCTCTGCTACAGAATATGGATCCTGTTCTCAGCAGTGGTCTTCACAGTGATGGCCTTAATGGTGAGTACCACCAGTAAAGAGAACACTATTATTAGAAATATTTCAGATGCCTATTTGAGGCTGTTGGGGAAAAGAAATTAATTGGCAAGAGAAGAATATGGCATAAATTTGTAGTTATATGATAAATCATGTGCGGTGTGTGTGAACTATTTAAAGGAGAGTTCCACGATTTATAAATATTTTTCAGAATTTCTGCATAATTCAGTCATTCAGAGTGGTTTGAAGGGAAATACTGCATTGTAGAGAAACTTACCTACTCTGTATTTTTGAGTGGTGATGGTAGGAACCAGGGATCTTAATGTACAGCGCAAATATTGCCACTTCATTTGCTATCCAAAATTACCCTAAATGTGTCTGCTGAGTTTTTATATGTAATGTTGATAATGGTAAAGTTGTGGTACGTCTGGAAAAAGGTACTACTTTGCCTTACAGTGCCCTGCATGTGTCTCTCCCCAATGAATATTTTTTAAGAAATGTTTTAAACCAAAACATTATCTATCTAACTGTCATTAAGCAGCGTATTAATATCACTTCATGTAACAGCTCCTCGTAAAGTAGCTTTTAGAGGAGTTATACAATTCAGACTCAAGCTTCTTTAGAATGGTACATTTCACATGAATGACTGTGTTTATACCTTAATCATTTAATTGTGCAGAAAGTTTGAGAAGATGGCCAATTTTCCCTATAATGAATCTAGATATTCTCAGCCCAATACTAACCACAAATGAGGATATTGTCAACAAATACGTAGAGTTATTGGAAACTCTGCATTTTCAAGTTAACCTTTAATAGTATTTCACACAAATAAATTTTTACACACTACTTATTAATTCCTTTTTAGTATTTCTGTCAATTTGTAATTTTGGTTCACTGCAATTTAGTTGGTTCAGTGGTATTATTTTAGCTCTTTCATGATAAAGCTCAATATTTAATGTGTCACCAGGTTTTGTTGTTAAGCAGCTGAAATTAGGAAATCATTTGTAAGCTTTGAAAGACAGATTGTCTCCTCTCAAATGCAAAATGTGTTATGCCATAAGGCCATTATTACTTCTTGCATACATTGATTATCCATCCAGTGTTTTTATCAAGCTGTCAAGATTTAATTTGCTGATAACACAAGTGTTTTAATCTCAGAGGTATCCAAATTCTTTAGAGTAAGTGAGTGACAAAAGAACTGGGGAAAAAATCGATACTAAACATCAATGAATGCCTAAAACACATTTTCTACTCACTTTTCGGCCAGAAACCCGGAAACATTAAACAGTACTGACAAGTTTTCTGTAAGTACCAAAATGAGTAGAATTAGCAGAAGCAAGGGTTCCTTAATCTTTTAGCCTGTTCACACCGGAATGCAGTGCATTTACAGTTATGTTACTGGCATGTCCTGTCTTTGATGTCTGTGGCTTCTAGGCCTTGGCATTCCCTAATCAGCTTTATGAAGTCGTATTCGACCAGGAGCAAACAGCCACCAGTGTCTCTATACGTCTGTATGGAGGGGCATTGCTGAGTAAGTCTTGCTGTATTCCACTCTTCTCTCTTTTCTCTCTGCAGTTGTTGCTGTTTTGCTATGTGTTACTGCATCTCATCCTTCCAAAAATGCTGGCATTGCAGTATAAAAATACATGCCACGGTTCTGTGCAAAAGTCAGGGACCTCCCTTCATTTCATTTCCAGATAAATTGCCTGGAAGTACAAGTTATGAATTTTTCAGGAGAAATTTCTTAATTTCTTAAGATGCAAAAGGAAGGGGGATTCCAAGGGAAAAAAGTGGGGAAAAAAAGGGAGTTTCCAAAACTGGAGTTTTTTATTAAAAGATGTAGAGATGGGACTCCTAACAACCATGCAACACCATTTAAACCACCAAGACTGTCAGCATCAGATAAACAGTAGTTAAGCCCTACATTTTTGAGAAATAGTAGAAAATCAAGCTCCACTCTTGCTTCAGATTAGAAAAAGAAAATCCACAGGTGTTTCTGTCCATCCTTCAACTGTGAGAATGCAACTCAGTGCTATGAGTCTAAAAGGATGTGTAGCTATGATAAAGCCATTACAGAGAAAAGAGGGAAAAAAATGCAGATCAAACAAGGAAGACACAGTCCAGACCTCAATATCACTTAATGTGTTTGGGATTATTTGGATCATGGGACGCAGAAAATGCAACCAATTTCTAAGACTGAACTTTGGAGGTGTGGAAAAATATCCCTGCAGATTTGTCTGCAAGCAAGTCTACCAAACTGATGGACAATGTAATAAAAGTAAAGGGTGGAGACACTGAATACTGAAAACATTGATATTATATTGAAGCTATGTAATTTTCATGTTAACTATAGTTAACTACAGTTAACTGTATCTGCTTTTTTCCCTGGTGCCAAAAAAAGAACAACTTGTGCTTGATGGCCATTTTGATTGGAAATAAAATAAAGGGTGGTCTCTGACTTCTTTGCACAGTATGTATTGTACTGACTAAAGTGATGAACCATATTAACCGTTTTCAGTATGCTTCATGTTAGTCAGATTCCACCAAAATAGAACTGTCTGCTGTTTCACACACATCTGTGCACTCTCTCACACAGATAATTCTAGATATTGTGTGTGTGTGTGTGTGTGTGTGTGTGTGTGTGTGTGTGTGTGTGCCCACATATGTGTGTGTCATTTGAAAGGAGTGAGTGGGTGGATACTGGAATGTGAAAGCAGGAATATTTTCTTGGGAATTAGATACTCCCCGCCACTCAGTCATTAAATTACACACTAAGCCTCATTCTCTCTGCCACTGGTAGCAAACAAAGAACACAAAAGTGAGCTGTGTGTGCATCTGTTCTCACAGCTCATTGGACAATATTTCAGCTTCATATCCCTCCCCAACTTGACTGAAGCAGTGGATTAAATTCTAGGATATGAAGGAAAAGTGTGTCTTCTTGTTCTTTATAAATGTTTCATTTCCCATCTCTCTCTTTCTTTGTAGGTCTCTCTCTAATCATGTGGAACGGTCTGTACACTGCTGAGAAAGTTATCATCCAGTGGACTCTGCTTAGTGAAGCGTGCTACTTTGCCATCCAGTTTTTAGGTGTGCTTACCTTTAGGTTTGTCATGTGTGGTGGTTTTCAATATCCACTGTGGTGCTATTGTATCTGTCTAGATCAGCAGTGCCCTCTTCTGGTAGTTAACCCACAGCACAAGACTTTTTATCCCTTAAAAAGATATTCAAAATCTTTCAGTACAAAAAGCATTATATACTAAGAAGCAAAAATATTAGGACAGTGGTGTGAAATGGGTCATTTGTTATATATTTATAAAATTGATAAACTTTGTATTCCAGATCAGAAGATCAGAATGAGATTAAAGCACAGTGTCAGTTTTTATCTCTGGCCAATGTTGTCCATAAACATAGACCATACAGGAAAAAAATTTTGTCAGTAATCCATTTGAGTGTGTTTACATGCACTTAATAATCCGATAACTGCAGAAAATGTGATTTTGTCAGTAATCCAATCAACACGTTTACATGCTCTTGAGTAATCAGATAATGGGAAACTCTGGGTCTACATGACTCGGATAGTAATCACATTTCTACTTTGCAACCAGCCAATAAACTCTTGCGACGCAAACGTACCGTAAAACTCAAACTTCATGCCGCAAAAAAAATACATTGCGGCACTTTACCCGAAAATATGAACATATATCATTTAGAAGATGAAGAATATTTTAATCCTTTGTCTCGTATTTGGTTTTAGCACCTCTCCAAAAGTGTTTTGCAGCCATCCACCGTCTATTCTCGCGCATGCGCAGACACTGAGAAATCTGATCACTGAGCTAAAATCCAGCTCTCGTTATCGGATTTCTAGATCGGAATATGGTGTTTACATGACCATCTTAATAATCAGATAACTGCAGAAATCCGATTATGATTGCATCATGAGAGCATGTATATGCACTGATTGATGTGTTTACACATATTTCAGCTGAGCATAAGTAGTGAGACAAATTAATTTAAAGTAGATCGAAGTTGTTTAAAGTTAGCATTTTGTCCAGTGCGTTTAGAGGCATTTGGAGGAAGCATTTAAGGTGTGGAAATGGGAAGGCAATTGGTGCGTTCCATTCTGGAGGAGCCAACTGCCTAACTAGTCGCTGTCTTCAAAGGCACCTCTCTCTTTCAGAAAGGAACCTTAGCAGGCATTGTATTCAGAACCATCATATGTCAAAAGTTTTACTGCACTGTACACGTTTTATCTGTTTACTTGCAGTTGCTGGTTACACTCAGATCTGACTGTAAAGGTGGATCACCTCAGTGAATAAGTACGGCTCCCGAATCTGCGGCAGCTGTTTTCCTGCATTGACGCTGTTGTGGGAAATTATTGTGTATGAAAAACAGGCTGCTTTAAGGAGTCATATGTGTCGTGATATACTTGACTCGGCACCCCAGATGAATACGGATAATCATGACTACTCGTTTATGAATCATTTCAGTTCATTCACTGTCCTCATCCACCTTAAAGAATCTGCTTTATTTCTAGCACACACAGGATAAAAACTACTCATAATTTTGTACAAAGTGCTCTCAGAAGAAAGGAGTGCACACCATCTGTTAAGCTGGCTAATATGCATTTTATTTAATGCATTCTCACCTGATTTGAGCTTATAGTCTGAAATGTAGCTGTCCACTGTTGTGACTGTGAGAAGCATAGCAATAATAGATAAGCAGAGCAGGCAAAAATGAGCATTTGTGGTATTTATTTATTTATTTTTTTAATTATTTACGATCGATTACTAAGTGGAAGTGTTTTTCATCATTCAGGGAGAACGTCAGTGGTCAGTGTTGGTTCTGCCGTGTTTTCTCCCACGTTTGCTCGAAAAGTGAACTGTTTTCAGTTGTTCTGCGCAGTTTCCTCCCTGTAACAGCTTCTCTTCCACAGCCAGCGCCTCTCTGCTTCTATTACGTTAGAGTACAGAAAAAAATCTCTGAGTATAGAATTACACTGATAAATGATTTACATATAAAAGCGCTACTAAACAGTAAACAGACAATATTTTAGACTGAACTCTCTTGGTTTTGAGAGCCAGCGCATTTACACAGCTAGCCCACTATCTAAGCTAACCAACGTTAGCTTCACCTGACAAGTTAGCTTAGCTAGCTACACACGGAGCCTGATTGTGTTAGACAAGCGAACTGCCAAAATTTCACCACATTTTTACAAACACAAATATGTTCAATACTTTACACAAATACAACAATCAATCAAATCAGTCTCGGGAGCAGCAATTGCTGCCTTAAAATGCTGCCTACTTAGATAGCTGCCTCCTGATTGGACCACACTGAAGATGTTTTGTACACATTAGAATGCATTCTGCAGCGGTCATCACCAGTTACATCGTCAGTGAAGACAAATGATCCAGTTAAAGAAGCAGTCATGCTGGGTCAAACCTTGACACTGCCACCTCCATGCTTCTCAAATAACCTGGTGTGGACAGCTCTGACAGTGTTTCTGTAATGCTGCTAAGGTCTTTCTAGAATGGCCTGATTGTCACAAATTGCTTACACCTCCAGTAGTTTTCAAAATTTTCACTGTTTTTGGAATGACCAGATGTTCTACAACAGTTCTGATTGGTGTTCACTTTAATCTCATGTTCAAAACTGCTTGCTTTTACATCAAAACATGACCCCTAATGATAACAATCAAACCTACACATTCATGGCATTTTTATGCATTTTACCATTAACGAAATGTGGGACACCTGAGCAGTCAGAATCACTTTTCATTTGTCTCAATACTTATGCTCAACTGAAATTGGTGAGCATATGAAAAAAAAAACTGTGGTTTATGTTGTATGGAAAACACTGGCCAGAAGTAAAGGCTAAAATACCAATCTTTTGATCTGGAATACCAATTTTATGAATATATCACTGCTGTCGGAAGAAAACCTTGTATGTCCGTTTTTCAGTTTTTGATATAATTTGAAAATGCCTTTTACCCTTTACATTGTATGTAAATTTTATGATGAATGGACCAAAATAAACGGCCCCAAATGACTTGGAAAACATTCTGGTTCCATTGACTTACATTAAAAGTAAAGTAGGTTTTTTCCTTTTCCTGTAAAGTTATTTTGGAGATATGAGGTTTTCTTCCGACAGCAGCAATATAATTTTTAAAAAATAACCGTGTATACAGTGAGAAGCACAATATTTGTGCATCTCACTGTATATTTTGTAAAATATTATTTAATAATGCTACATGGTTCAGTCAGTTCACTATAATTTCATCATTGTTTTCAAATCTTTGTTTCAGTAACCTCCGTCACTCTGGTGGAGCTGGGCCTGTTGTCAAACCCTGCCATCCTCCTCCTCCTCAGCCGCATACTCTTCCTCACCATCACCCTCTCGTACTACTACCACCTGGGACGTCGGCCTAAAAAGATCTAAAGATCCCATCCCCACCGTCTAAGAGAGGGTGGTGTATGTGGGAGGTGGGGCCACATCTGAGTTTTAGCAAGAAGCTTTAAACACTGATACGATCAACTTTACCAACATGCTTTGGCATGGATCCTCACACTTGACTACTGATCAGATCTAACTCTCGTTTTGCAGATTTTTTGGTTTTAATTTATTTTTGCCCTATATTGTTTGTAGTTGATTCCAAGTATACCTCTATCTCCTTTCACACGTCAGTGTAGAAAGATGAAAGTTGTGCACGCTTCCTTCAACGTATGTGAGGCATGCCACTGCATGTTTTAAAACCATTAGTCAAGCAGTGCTATACTCATGGGACGATGTAGACAACCCATTGGCTGGTGCATTGCTTAGCAACAGGAAAGGAGGTGATCCTGCCATGCTTTCGTCCTGGTAAGAACGGTGTCATCTGCCCTGGCTCCTGGCCACAGAAGGTGTGTGGCACATCTGGAATTTAACCCTGAATCCAAACAGTATGGTTCTCCTCTGTGCCACTAAATTTCCTTATTCTTCCAATATCCAACTTAAACACAACATGGGAACATGGCTTTAACATGTATATTTCTTCTTTGTTTTTTTTTCTTTTTTACTCTGAGAAACTCGCACCGTTGTAACGTGAATTTTTTTTTTTGGACTGTGCAGTTACTATGTAGCTATTCCTGAAGCAGAGTTTGTCATGTTTTTGCACACCATAGCTCAGCTTGGAATGCTGGGGTTGTTGTTTGTAGAAATGGAATAAATGACAATATAAAAGTTCTTTTTATAATTCCAGAGACCTCTTAGCTCCTACACATGTGACTCGTGTTGGTGTAAGAGTGGGCAGTTAACACTAGAATGTGTGTTTTTTATGTACAATCAAGGCTTTTTGTTTTGTTTGTTTTTTTTTAGAGACTCTCATTATTGGAAAAGTGTTAGTCTTCTACAAACATGACTTCCTGCTGCTCATCCTTGAGGACCAAGATTCCCTATTCATGAGACTGGTTTTAAGAAAGAAAGAGAAACAAACAAACTACCTAGGCCAAAGGCCTTCTTCTAATATTTCTTTCTCTCTTTCAAGTGCAGATTGGTTTGTGTGAGTAGTAGAGGTACTGGCTCTGAAGTTTTGCGCGGTGACAAACGTCCAACCTAGCTTTGAAGCATTTTAAAGTTTAATCTGCAAAACAAGGATGATCAGAGAACAGTTCTCTGTTAGTTGGGGTACAGAAATCAGTACATTCACTGGCCCAGAATTATGTTTATTTAAGGACGTCTTCACCTAAAGTATATGTATTTTGAGTGCATTTTTCAGCAAACTGAATTAATTTCTTCTTATTTCTTCTTATTAAATATCGTTTCTGTCTGTAGTCATAGAACTTTGTTTTAACAGACTACTTTTTTTCTCAAATGTTTATGCAGACTGAAAGCCTCCAGTGGTAGCCAGATTGTTTTGCATTTATCAGGGATTTAAAAAAAAAAAAGCCTTGGATTATGGTTAGTCAGCTCAGCTTGTCTGCCTTTCATCTGCTCACCTGATCTTTGTAAAAATAAAGGGGTTAAAGCAGATGTTCCCAAACTTTATGAAAAAAATGCACTCTCTTGATCATCTGAAGATTTTTTACTTCAGAATCAGTTGGAATATAACTGGCTAGTATGTAGAATTTTAATAATTAAAAGAAAAGTGGCAAAGTTTGTTTTTGATGGCCTTGCACTGGCCAATGGAATGACAAAGTAGTATTAAATTACTATTAAAATGATTGTTAAAGAATGACTAGTAAAGTATTTAAGATTAGATTGCCTAGAAGATAAAGAGAAAGTGTTTACCAGTAATGTCTCTATAATGAAGATCCAGGGCAGAGTAGCAAAAAGACATTTGCTTCATATTAATTTACAATGTAGCAGAACTTTCCCTTATATCTCTTATATTGCCTTAAAGTAGTCAGCAGCCATATGTCCACATGATGATTCGCTGCCAATATTATATATGGGTCTCTGGATTGTGCAGAAGAAGTCTATGTTTTTGATTCTTAAATGAAGCATTTTGTGCTTAAACCTTATTTATTTGACAGTTTCTGAGTAGTATTACTGTTCCAGTAAAAATACCATTAAGGGATATTAACATTGATCAAGCATGTTTTCTTCCCAAGCATGTTTTAAAACACTGACAAAAAAAGAAAAGCATAAATATTACATGTTTAACCAGCAACATTCTTAAATGTTGTCCTTAATATCTTATTGATAAGGTATTGATACTCTCCTTTACCCTTTACTGGGATGAACCTGAACCTGTTTGTCGTTCATAAGCTGTATTTAAACTGGATTAGTTTTACCAGAGGAGGTTCGGTAATGTAATTTGTGCGTGATCTGACTGGCCGATTTGTACAGGATAAACATTCTCGTGAATAATTTCTCCAAATTGCACCAAATAGCCTAGATCAAAACATCATCGTGCAGACGTTTACGCCAAGAAAAACCATCAAAATACACTCACAGAAGCCACGTTGTGTTGTTCTCTATCTGAGGCGATGCGTCCGTGTGTCTACCATGTTGGAGCGATGAGATGTCGATTTGAGCAGGTCTGCTATTGCTGAAAAGCTCTGAGTTTGGCGAATTATAGGAGGTAATTCACTCCGGAAATATTACTTAGGAAACTTGTAAAAACTATGAACATGGCAGATTTATACTGAATCAAAATCGCTGAGCTTGTCCATACTCACTTCAATTACAGCACGTCCCCAGGTAATACTAATCCTACTTGAATAGGGCTATATGGCAAATTCTAATAGCCTGTTTCCTGAAGGAACTGAAGGGACTAAATTTTCATTCAGCACAAACACAGACATTTATGTGGGTTTACAGCTGTTCTTTAGATGGTATCTTCAGCATCACAAGGATTTGTGTTCTTTTTAAATGCATATGTGAGCATAGTTATAGAACTGCATTGTTCTTTTTTTGGAATAAAGAAATGTTCTAAGGACTGAAATCTGATATGTGGTATCTTTTACATGACCTATGCCTATAATTATGTTCATACATGTACGTATAAAGGCTTAAACCCTTATTGCATGACATTGTATCATCTTTTCTAGGTTTCACATATAGGTTTCTAACATCCTAAAGAGGACATCATTACTCACACTTGCCTAATTTTCCAAGTGAAGCTACTCAGCAGTGGGCTTTGTTGGTTGTGGAACAGCAGTGTGGTAATGCTGAGGTAATACTGGACCTATTCTATAGAATTTAATGAAGCTTTATTAATACTTATCTCCCTTTTTTTCCCTCTGTGTACAATCTTCACTGTTTGCGGGTACAACATACCCACATACACAGGAATGTTCATAACTGGAGTTGCTTACCAAATTTCTCTAATCTAGGTGGGTAACGTATGTCCAAAAGTGTTGGGACCTTCTCATTGCTAAAAGGTGTATAAAAACAAACTACATAGTCATGTAGTCTCAATAGTCAAACATTAGACATTAGGCAGCAGAATGAGTCGTACTGAAGAGCTCAATGTAAACACAGTTACATTGTGACAACCTATTGTTTTGGTGCCCACAACATTGAAATGTAATTCCTCACAAAGTTGAGACATCTGACAACATTGTCAGTAAGTTGTCATAACCTCCTAGAACCCTTGTAAGTTCCATTATGTTGAGCCTGGAACTCCATGGAATTTTGCTAAATTGCCAATAGGTAGTCATAATGTATGACAATGTTGTAAGAAAGTTGACGACGTATGTTTGCCACAAGTCAGTTTGTGAAATTTCGGCCCTTGTGAACTGTTATGTTGTACTGTTATTACTGTTATTGTTATAGAAGTTGTTGCAGTTATTGCAACAGAAGACTCACCAAGCTCAAGTGTGTAATAAATAAAAACGACCTATCCTGTGTTCCATCACTCACTACAGAGTTCCAAACTGCCTCTGGAAGCAACATTATTACAAGAACTGCACCTTGAGAGCTTCATGAAACACACAAGCCTAAGATCACTGTGGGGTCTGGCCTCTACATATACTCATGCCATGCTGATGCAGGCTCTAGTTATGCCAAAATCCAGAATATCTTGTAAAATATGTCAAAGTATGCCTGCAAACCAACTTCCTAAATATCTTACAACAGACTTCTTCATGAAATACACGTAAAGTCGCATGTACCCAAGTAGTATGTGATTGCCATACTTAAAGCCATCTAAGTCCATGGGGCATAAGAATGGCTGAAGATGGCATACTTAAATCCAATAGCAAATAGGCCTAAGTATAGCTGAAGAACCCAGATGGCATTCATACATGCTTGTTGTGGAGAAATCTCTCAGTAATGATTGGGTGTATCTTGAGGTGTTTCTGTTTTTGTGTGTCAGATATTGACATGTCCTAACCCATTAGAGTATGGAGGGAGGTGGGTCCGGGACACCAGACACCCCTGTGGAGCTTTATGGAGGTACTGTGGGCTTAATTCCAGGAGACACCGATGAAGGAAGGTGCCCACTTGACAGCCCCTATGAAATGCTCACAAAGGCGTCTTTGTTGTTGCTAGTATTGTTAAGTTCCAGTGTAATTGACGTAGTGCACCCTGTTGTGGCTATACTGTTAGGTATAAGTACTTGCATCTGATAGTGCAAGTACTTGTACTTGGGAAGTCCCTAACCAATAGCATAAAGGATTTAACATCTTTTCCTGTGTATAGCTAAGTGTCCATGCACGGAGCAAAATAACATCATCTAGTATGCAACAAATGAAGCCATTACAAATTTTCCCAAACCTAGTGAAACACAGGCTCAACAGGTATCACACACAGAGAGAAAACCTTGAAGTCAACATTGTACAAATATCTACCTATGAGATAAAACCACTGAACGTAATATTATTAGCTATTTTCATTAAATTATTAAATGATGGCGTAATATAATGAATTAAATTTTTCTGTATATATCTGCAGTGAATATTAACACCTCCCCATGAGAAAAGTTTCACACAACTTCAAATATTCCTTGGGAAAATATACAGTCAAAATATCTAAAAAAATGTGGGTTATGGCTCTGAAACTATAACTAACAAGATCTGTTTTTCAGTTTGTTTATGCAGGACAAAATAACTTCTAGATGTTGTAGAATTATATTTATACTACACAGAATCAAAATCTGGTTGCAAGACAGTGAAATCTTGCAGAGATATTTTTGAAAATTGAAGATTTTTGTTCAAGTAAAAAATATTTCAATAACTTGTTTACTGTGAAACATTCAGCAAAAACTATTTACATAAATACATGTTGCACATTATCTTTAGGGTTTCTAAGATGTTCAGTAAAAATTTCTACCCAATCCAGCAAAAAATAAACAACTGGTGAGGCTTAGAGTGCACATACAAAGAATCCCAAAAAATGAGGGATTATGGTCTAGCGCTGTTTTCCAGGATTCGGTCTCGGCCCCTTAGTTCCAGTGAAGGCCGGTTAATGCCACAGCATTTAGATACATTTTACACAGCTATATGCTTTTAACTTTGGGGCAAGTTTGGGGAAGGCCCTTTCCTTTTCCAGCATTACTGTGCCCTTGTGCACAAAGCGAGGCCCATAAAGACATGGTTTGACCAGTGTGGTCATTGGGATGGAACACCTTTGGGATGGACTGGAACACTAAGTGTGAGCCAGGCCTGCTCATCCAACATCATTGCCTGATCTCACAAATGCTCTTTTGACCAAATGGGCACAAATTCCATGACCAGGGTTTTGTATTGTGTATTTTAATGTATTGTCATAGCAGGGATTTTATAAGCATTGCTGGAATCATTAAAGGGGAATTCCACATTTTTTAAAAAATGAAATGGGTAAGATGTAAAGTCATTTAGAGTGATCTGACATGAAATGTGTATTGTAAGGAAACATACTGTGAATTTCTTTACAATGATGGGGACTGGAACCAGGGGTCTTAATGTCTACAACATGAACGTTGCTTTTTTCTTTGTTATTCTAAAACTAGAACCTACATGTGTATTCTAGATTTAATGTGTAATATTTATAATGGTCACATAGCACTGAATCCAAAAAATACTTTACAGTGTTCTGTCTACTGCAATTCTTGTGATTAATGAAAATAATTGCTGTTATGGCTTTAGGCCAAAGACATATCGCAAAACTATCATAAAACAATGTCTCCGACATCAAGTAACATATTTGTAACCATTTCATGAAATAACTTCTGTGATGTAACTTTTAGAGGTGTTATGTACTTTGAATATCTGGTTCCTATCACAACCACAATAATTCTGACTCAGTAAGTTTCTCTAGGACAGAGCATTACACATCAAACCACTGAATGACTCTCTCTTTAAATAGCTTAACTATTTAATTGTACAGACATTTTGGAAAATTGGTGGAATTCTCTTTTAACGTCAAAACAATTTTGTGTCACTTCGTATCTTTGCCTTTCACAGCAGGAACAGCAGGCCATGAAGACCACTTCAGAGCTCAATTCCTGCTATTCTACACACACTGGATGAACTTTTTATTTTAAATTTCTTTACAATAAAGGCTAATAGTGTATTGTAATGGCAAAATCAGGGATTAATAAAGTACAACCATCATCATAATCATATAAACAGAAATCTATGCATTGTTAAATGAAGACAAGTCCAGGTATTATGACCAAGGTTTAGGAATTGTTGTTTATATACTTCTGTAATGCTGATTTTCTTTTCTTTTTCTGTAATGCTGATTTTTCTGTAAAGCTGCTTTGTGAAAACGCCTGTTGTGAAAAGAGCTATATAAATAAACTTTGCTTGCTTGCTTACGTGGGTGGGCAGCAGGGACATTTCTCATTTTCCTCCTCTCATTTTCTCCTCTTAACCTTCCCTTAATCTTCTCTGCTTCAGCCCTCTCTACTCTATTCCTATGTTCTAATCTCTTTTTCAGTCATCTCTTTTCTCCCCCCCCCCTGCTCTCTTCTGCTGTCTCTTCTCTCTTTTCCTCTGCTGAAAAAATGCCAATATATATGTGGAGGCCATCAGGAGTCTGTACACTAGGATTAGTGAGTTTTAGAGTGATGGTCTTAACCAACAGAATTTGATCCTTTTCTCACTCACCTCCAGGTCACCTGAACACACAGAGTGAACATGAAAGAGATATTATCAGTAAACAATAGGGGTGGGAATCGCCAAAAGGCCCCACTATATGATATTATCGTGATACTTAAGTCACAATATGATATTATTAAGACTTTAAACATATTGCGATATGTTGAGTATTGTGATAACATATATTGCGATCTGTTACCTTTTTCAACTACAAATACAGCCACCAGTTTTTTGTTGGCAGTCTCCTATTCTTGTGCTACATTTTGCAGGAGGTCTGCAATGTTGCCCCAGTGTAACTTTCATGTACTGCTCTAGTTTGGAGAATGTGAGACAGCAGTGGTGAGATAATGAAGTGTTATAGTCACATAGGAACGTCAAGTCAATGCCATGAATGAAACAAATATTTTCCACCCATGCTGCATTATATATTTATCTACCTATAAGACAGATAGATCATCTGACAGATACACACACACACACATCAAATTGTATATGAACACTGACATGAGACTGTGTCAACAATGACAGATTTATTTTTTGTTCTGATCATGTGCCCACCCATCACGAAAGACAGATCTCTCCCACTTCACCCAAAGAAGTTATATGAAATTTGTTGTTTTTCTTTTATATGAGAGAAGAAATGACTTTTTGTATTTGTTTACTAAAGGTGGCTTAGTTGTAACGCCGTGTAACAACTGAGCCCGCAGTACGGAGGCAGTATTTAAGCCCAGCGAGCACTTGCTGTGAGTTACATGGTTCAAAACGGTGCTGCGTTGTAGGCAACAAGATGGGGATTAAAGTAATATAAGATCGCATTCTGTGATTTGCAATACAAAAAACGTACGTTGGCTTTGCTCTCAATTACAAGGCAAAAGCAGCATCTTGTTCGAATTTTCTCGGTCCATCTTAAATAGCACAG